CCAAGATCTATTGCTTCCATTAATATTTTACAATGTAAGTGCTATAATAGATATTTTATTCTACTTCTCAAATAATAACACTTATTATTACAGTCCCATCATCATTTTCATTAGAGATAAGACTTGATATGAAATATATTATTCATAAATGTTACTTATAAAGTTCACAATCAACTAAATTGTGTGTATATTATATCTCGCAGTCTGTGTAGACAAAGGTAGGAATTTTAATTAGCTCTTTTTTAAAAAAATACTGAAATATTATAGACTATAAAGGGAGAAGAAAGAAAAGTAGTAAAGAGAAAAGAGGTAAAAAGCAATCTGGTGTTTGAATTGTGACTAATATATTATTGCTTACTCTTAGGGTACAAAACACATTTCTCTGCATATTTGGTTCTTAATAAACATTTATTGAGTAAATAAGTAATTTCCTAAGTGTTTACCTTATTTTTAAAATATAAGAAATCTAGGTTAAGATACAAGTATGGTAAGTTTAAATAAGCTGTGAATTTCTGCAGGTACTCATGCATATCTTATGATAAAATCTAGCGACATCTTATGCTAATATTTATAAATTAAGCAAGGTGTTTACAGTTATAGAGCTCAATGTAAGAGGTATTTCTCTCATGAAAAATAGACTTCGGTGCAAGAATGTAATATATCATAATAAATAAAATGGGTCACTTCTGAAAAACTCATATGTATTAAATTTACATTTTGAATTACACAGAAACAATTACTTTTATGATACATTTGAAAAAATAGATTACTGGAATTGACTTGATTATTAATTTAAATGACAAGTAGGTAGATAGGTAGACAATCGATAGGTAGATGATAGATAAATTATGCCACCAGGCACTGTTTATGCCCTGGAGACACAAGCCAAAGACGTTAGGTCCTTGTTCTAAAATAAAAAAGAGTCTAATAGGGAGAAAGGGACTCACACACAGAAACCAACATATATAAATAAAATACTAAGCTAAAGGATAATGGAGACGTTCATGGGATTCACAGAGAAAAGGTATGTGGGCTTAATGCTGGGATGGTTTGAATTGGGCTGACTATTTTCCCAATTTTCAGAAGGAAGAAATGTTTTTGGATGATGATGGTGCCTGAATCCAGCTAAGAAAAAATGAGATACACAGGTCACTGTGTATTTTTTTTTCCATTGAACTGTAAAATGAAAACTTACTTCCACCTTGTAGAAACAGTCTATTCCTTGTGTCCAAACCCATTGTATTTATTGATTAGGGAAAGCTTTTAAGACAAGTTGATGTCTAGTCTTAATGTCTTATCTAAAGTGACTGGTAGGAGTTTGCAAGGTAGAAAAATAGGCAAGGTTGTACCAGTCAAAAGGAAGGTGACCTTTAGAAATTGAGAGTAATTTAATGTTACTAGAGTGAAGGTGCAACTTGGACAGAAGCAACAGATAAAGCTACAACAGTGGACAGAGAGGTCCTGAAGGAGTTCTTTCATCTGCTAAACTAAGGAATTTAGATTTTATTATGGAAGCCTTGTGGAGGCCATGTGTGGCAGCTTTAGGGAATGCCACCAGAATGCTCATGTGACAGTAAAGCAGTTGTTTCTAATGTGATGTTAATGATTCATCTCTTTTAGTCAAGCAAAGATATGTTAATTTCCTTTTCCTAGTTTTTCAGGTTATATAAGTTCATAGTCTGTCAAGAGATATGGTTATTATCGGAAAAATTCAACTAAGCTTATCATGTATAATAGGAATTAAGCAGGTCATGTACAGACTTAATCTTCTTACCCTTTGTTTTTATTTTAAATAGAATGCTTACTTCAAATAATGCTGCTAAAGACACAGCTAGGTAAAACAAATGAACATAACACATAGATATAAGGACAATAAAATGCCACATATCGCCAAGAGATTAATCCATTCGTTTTAGTTTAATATTGATCTATAACTTAAAGAAAATCATAACATATGAATGATTTAAGCTTTCACTAGAAGGTCCAATTCCATCTTCACTTCTCAGGCCTATTTTAAACATTTACCAACCAAGTATTACATTTATTAACAAATTGTAGTGAAAATGCTAGTTGACGAGTTAACATGTTTCTTCTTAGCCTAGTCCTTTGGATTTAATTCTAAAACTCATTTTGACACCACAAAGATATTCTTAACATAAAAATTGCACTTAGACATAATCATCAATCATACAAGTGCAACAAATATTTGATTTAGCCAAGTTATCAGAAGTAGCCTTCCTGGATGTTGGGGAAAATAAATTGTGGGGTTATCTGAATTTTTTTCAGAATTGATTATTTTAGTCATAGCCAGAACAGAGTTATCAAAATACTCATTTATAAAAACATTATTTCTAAGGGTCAAGTACTATAGCTGAGAAAAAACGTATAAATATGCATTATATAAAATGCTGATTCCAGAAAAATAATTTTAACATTAATTATTAAAGACAGAATGCTTTGATTTTTCAAAAATAATATAAATATGCAATATATAAAATGCTGATTCCAGAAAAAAATAATTTTTACATTAATTAGTAAAGACAGAATGCTTTGATTTTTCAAAAATAATTTCAAAGGGGACCAGTAGATGGTATAGTGATTAAGACACTGGAGTCCAATGTGGTTTACAGTGGTTCAGCTACCAGACCCAGTGGCATGAAAAATCATTCTAGGCACATGTGTGTGCATGCCCAAAATCCTGAGAGGAGAATGGAGAAGTGATTGTGATATAGCCAGAACCCCTGGGAGTGACTTTTCACTTTTCCTCTTTCTGTACTTCTACTACTATGTTGAAGAGAACTGGGGAGAATGGGCTTCCTGGTCTTATCCCTAATCTTAGAGGAAAAGCTTCTGACTTTTTTTAAAGACATTTTTTCTGTAGGGTTCATGTGTTCACCAGAAAGACAGAGAAACAGAAAGCAAAAAATCACCCCTCTAAGAGGGAAGGCCACATCGCAACCCCTTCTCCTCCATTGTCCTCTCAGGATTTTGGACACACATACACACATATCCAGTGTGAGTTTCAAGCTGCTGTGTTCAAAATTCGAACCTCAGTTTACCATATGAGAGTCCAGCACCTTAACCATTATGCCACCTGCTGACCCCAGGCTTTTGACTTTTTGCTGTGGGGAATGATATTAGTTATGGGTCTGTCATAGCTTTCAGGGTCTGCTTTATGCTACTGATGTACATTCCCTCAATAACCAATCTGGTAAGGATTTTTATCATGAAAGTGTTGAATTTTGTCAAATTTTTTTTTGAGAGGTTTTTGCTATAGGGCACATATGCTCGCCAGAAAGACAGAGATAGACAGAAAGTGAAAAATCAGCCATGTCACAATCCCTTCTCCTCCATTCTCCTCTTGGAATCTTCGGCACACACAGAGACACGCCCAGAATGAATTTAAGACACCAGGTCTGGGATTCAAACCATTGTTGACTACATGGGAGTCCAGTGACATAGCCATTAAACCAACTGCTGCTAGTCCCATCAAATGCTTCTTTTTTTTTTTTTTGCATCTATTTAGTAATTTTTTTTTTCTTTAGAGAGGTTTATGCTATAGGTTGCATGTGCTTGCCAGAGAGACAGAGAGACAGAAAGCAAGAAATCACTCCCTAGGAGGGATGACCATGCCACAATCCCTTCTCCAGTCTTCTTTTGGAATTTTGGGCATGCATGCGCATGCACCTGATGTGAGTTTCAAGGTATCAGGTCCAGGACTTGAACCATGATCAACTATGTGGGAGTCCAGCAATGTAACCATTATATCATCTGCTGGTCCTTAGCGATTACTTTTTATCCTTCATTTTTTGTTTGTTTAATGTATCACATTTTGGTTTGCAAGCACTTCAAACAATATTACCAGAATTTATTTTTATTCCTGTATGATGTTATTTTTAGAATACTGCTTTTCTGTTCTTCATATTTACTAATGGAAGTTAATGAAGATTTCAAATATTAAAAATATATAATATTACAATAACACAGGATCTAAACGTAACCTCTAAATATTTTGAGTTTTACTAAAAGCAAAGAAAATGCTTACATACAGATGAATAAAATACTAGAAGACTTAAAAAATGCTAGTTATGTCATGTGCAGAGCAATAAGTTGACATACAAAACAGTGTCATGAACCATCTCAAAGAGTAATTTTACTATATTCTTCCTTACATTTGTAGAAATGGGAAATTATAGCACAAGAAATGTAGAATCTAAATGAGGTTACAAAATTTTCAAGAAAAGACTATAAAAACTTGTATACAGATTCTAAATGTATTTAAATCTAAAGAAAAAGTCTAATAGTCTCAATATTTTGAGTTTATACATATTCTATAAAATTTCTTGTGCAATGAAATAAAGGACATTAAAAATATTAAATGGCCAAAAAAAGAATGATCTTTTCACATGCAAAAAGTTAGTTGTAATATCCACAGAGCAAGCTAAGGTTTTTTTTTTTTCCAGCTGAAAATTTATTATACTAACAATATTCAAATCAAAATGTCATCAATCCTTTGACTCAAAACTGTTAATCAATATTAAAACTCTTTTTTTTCTTTTGTATTACAGTTTCAAACTTTTGCTTCCTTCATTTACTGTATGTATATTCCCCCATTAAACTAACTGCAATGTACATCAGGCAACAGAAGTTTTTTCTGTCTCAGGCTTAAATCAGGGTTGAAATCGCCATTTCTCTGAAGCTGGCTACAACTAAGCATACTGTAATTACATCCACATTAAAAATCATGAAAATAACCATGAGTCTTCTTGTGAAATGTTATATTTCACAAAATATCATTTTCTTGTTCTATAATGAATGACATAAGACACTTTTGTGAAATGTTATATTTCACAAAATATGTTCTTGTTCTATAATGAATGACATAAGACACTTAGTAGCCACTATTCTAGGCTCTATCCTTGGGGGAAAGATCAAACAGTTTTTGATTTGTGTTTTATTATAACAATAAATGACTTAAGTTGTAAAAAAGTGACGTTTACCTTTTCCAATTGAGCGTTTTTTTTGGATTTGTATAAAAACTCTCCCACTGCCACAAAAACTGAAAGCACCAAGCCGGCTGCCAGAACAATGAAGATGCCACCGATATTTTGAACCCCCAGGGCGCTGGCCTCTTTGCTCTCCTCCTCCGGACATCCATTGCCCCTCCACCACTTTTCCTTCATCATGTGCAGTTTACCTTCCTCTTGCAGCTGGAGAATTGCTATGGTGATTTTGTCTCGATATGGAGAGCCTAAGAAAGGAGAGGAATCCAGAATTTTATTTCATAATTAAAGGTTAGCATAAGAGAACTTTTTTTTTTCAAGTGCTCCAAAGCATGCCAATATTTATTTTCAGTAGAAAAAAAAAAAAACTGGATGAAAAGAATACAAGTTTATTATGACAAAGCAGACAGCCTTTCTAGATTGTGAAGGTAATACCGATTTTGTTTTTCAAGGAACAAAATGTCTCTTTCCAAAAGGCAAACTCAGCTCAGAGCATTGGAAAATAAGTAAAACACTAAAAAGAAATGGATAGACTCCAAGGATTTTTAGTTTGTATCTAGGAATATTTCTACACCCAAACCATAAACATTAATAAAACATTAGTGTCTATATTTAGAAATGTAAACAAAAATAGTATTTTCCAAGATTAAGAACAATAATTTCAGGTGATCAAAAATAGTTGTTTACAGTGGCACCTAATACTTTGCAGGTAATCGGAAGTCACTTGTATATGTTCTTTGATGTGAATAAAAGAAGTCACAAGTTTTATAGACTTGGGTATTTCAAAAGTTATTATGCCAATTTAACTCATAACCTGAGAATTCTGTAGCCTGATATTGTGATCTGTTCTTGGTTGTTTCTTTCTTTATCAAATTATAGTTTTGGGGGAAATGATCTTTTCAGTGAGTCAACAATGTAGATGAAATTTCATATTTATGCAGATGGGGTAAATATTAATCTGCATTAGTTATAACATGATCAGTGTTATCTCACTAATTGGTTGCCCAGAAGCACAGAAAAATAGTGAACAAAATACATCTTTCCACATCTGTCTGAAAGAATTGCTCTTATTGCTTTCTTCCACCCAAAAATAGCTTGCTTCTGAAAATTTTTATTCTTAGAGCATAACACCACATATTCCATTTTTCTGTACAAATTCATACATAGTATTTTCCTGCTTAAAGAAAAATAATAAATTTTATTCAGTGTTGTCTATGGGTTTGTTTCTATTTAAATATATCTATATCTATATACTTTATTTTAATCAAGAGTAGGCAAGGTAAAAATAAAAAGACAGGAAAAAATCATAGAAAATAAGTAGCCTATTGAAAAAGTTGTATGAGGGACGATTTGCCAAACTCAACTCTAGGGCTGCTGCTTTAACATAATTGTCTATTTACTTAGAATATGTGGAAGTATATGGCTTCTATAAAACATTTTCACAGCTTTTCCAAAAAGGGGTTTTACCCAATCCTATAATTACATCCATTATGCAATTTCATTATGCAATAATTTCTAAATATACTAGAGAAATTTCTATCTCTCAGTTTCTTTTTAGGGCTCTCTCTAATACTACTTCAAACACCTATGCACAGTGTGACTGCTGCCCCACAACCACTAGAAATCTCAGTCTCTTACTACTTTCTACCTGTATTACTCATGTACTGGACTTCAGCCTAGATCAACTATTAATTTTTCCCTATCTAGAAAAGACTTACTTCCCTAGATTAAAGGATTTTCAGAATAGTGAATATATACCTTTCTGTCTATCTCTATTTCTCTCTATGTGAATCCTTAGTCATTCTTCATATAATGGGCTCTCCAAAACTTGTGCATATTCCGAGGAGCAAATTATCTGACTGAGGACAGTCTTAATGCAATTTAAGACTAGTAATTTGGTGATTTTGTCTCTCTGACATGTAATAACCATCATCAATAGAGGATATATTGGGACCAGCAGTTAGCATAATGTCTGTGTCGCTGGACTCCCATGTAGTCGACCGCGGTTCGTGTCCTGGACCCAGTGGCTTAAATCTCACGCTGGGTGTGTGTGCGTGCATGCCCAAGATCCTGAGAGGAGAATGGAGGAGAAGGGATTGCAGCATGGCCATCCCTGCTGGGGGGTGATTTCTTACTTTCTGTCTCTCTGTCTGTCTGGTGAGTGCATGCGCCCTATGGCAAAAACCTCTCCAAAAAAAGAAAAAATAAATAGAGGATATATTATTTGGCAATCGAGCTTCCATTAATTCACTATATCTATCCTAGCACCAGCTGCAAGGTCACTTTTACTATAAATAATCACCCTGATAAGCTATGTATTTTTCCTGAGAAGTAAATATTTGACCGAGGGAGGACATAAGCCTCCATTTTAAGCAGAATTTTAGTTTATCCAATATGTCTTTCAATTAGAAACACAGCATCTGAGACAAACCGTGTGCCCACAGTACTTGTGAGAATGCCCACATCTGGGTAACATGAAAAGGTAAGTTTCTTTTTTGAAAGTGCTGTTATAAGCAAGATTACAGGGAGAGGGAGGGGTTATTATATGGGAAACAGACTTTGTTATAGAGAAATTCTTAATCCAGCTAAGTATTTTCTGCCAGTTTATTTCTCACCCTAAGAAGTATTGAAAAAAAATTTTTTTTTCCAACTGACCATACACTCTGAACCTCATTGAGGTGTTTATTCTAATATTTTTTAGGAGAAATTTTTGCTATAAGGCATGTGCACTTTCCAATAGACAGAGAGAGACAGAAGGTGATAAATCATTCCTCCGGGGGTACGGCCATGCCACAGTCCCTTCTCCTTCATTCTCCTCTTGGGATTCTGGGCAGGCTCACACACATGTGTAGCATGAGTTTTAAGATGCTGGGTCTGAGACTCGAACCATAGCCGACTAAGTGGGAGTCCAGCGATGTAACCATTACACCATCTGCTGGCCCCTTTAATATCCTCAAATACAATATTCTCCACTGATTGACAAAAAAAAAAAAAAACCCACAATGAAAGAAGTTCACTTTTCAGCAAGTGATGAACAAACAAATCTGGATTTGTTGGAAGCTGAGCTTCCAATTTCTAGCACTAATTGTGACTATAAAAATTCCCAATGATAACAAATCTAACATACTTGTTTTTCTGAATATTTTAATGTACAATTGATACTTAGTTTAAATCAAACCTACAAAGTTAATACACTTCATTATGTTTTTTTTAAAACGAGATGGAATAATATAAAAAAAAATCAATGACAGTAAATCACTGACATGTTTTACTTGTCATTCCATCACGATTTAGTTAAAGTAGTTTTTGAAAAGAACAATACTTCAATAATGAAGAACTATTTCTTCGATACATAATTTGACACTCCTTGGGAAGCATTTCGACATAGATGCTCATTGAAGTCAAATGTGAACTAAATTTTCATCTAATTGAAAAATCTCAAGGACATGCTGAAATCAAAGAACAAAAGTATTTTTCATCCTGTGACATGAACAACCATGCGCTTAGCTCTAATGAAGTGAACAGTCATTAATTGGATAGATAGAGCTTAAATTTCACCCAAATTCCAACTCTAGCTTCAATCATATACTGGCAGGCAAAAACTGACAGCATTGAGTGTCAATTCAGAGAATCTGAGATTCCACTGCAAGATTTACTCCAAGAAAAATGTGTATTTTTCCAGTGGTATTTAAGTTTGATAAGCAACTGAAGCCATTATAAATATGTCTATTATAACATGTACTAACACAACTAAAAATCAACCCTCAAAAACTTAAGACAACTGAATAACTGTAAGTGACTGAAGAAGACAAAAATATCTGAACAAATTGTAATATCCAAGGAAGATATGACTTTCAATTATACTTTTATTAAAATTCTGTGGAAATTTCAACACAGGGTGACCATATAGTTTCATTTTTGGTAAAAACGCATGAAATATTTTGTCTAAAATTCTCTGCACTTAAAATGTAGGCAAATGGGGTCAGCAGATGGGGTAGTGTTTAAGGTGCTGGACTCCCACATGGTTCACCATGGTTTGAATCTCAGACTTAACACCTGGGTGCATGTGCATGTGTGCCCAAAATCCCAAGAAGAGAATTGGGGAAAAGGGATCGTGGTGCAGCCATCTTCCCAGCGGATGATTTCTCGTTTTTCTCTCTCTCTGTCTCTCTCTGTGTCTCAGGCAAGCACACGTGCCCTATAGCAAAAATCTCTCAAATAAATATTTAAGCAAATATTTTTTAGAAAAACACCATTCAGGATAAAAATGTATGGATAATAATAAAGAGTCAAACATTTCTTAAAGCTGACTTAAGCTCTGAATCTCTACTACACAATTACTAATCTTAGGTTCTTTTTATATTATTTTTCTCAGTGGCTTAATTTTTTTTCTTTTTTTAGAATTTTGCCACAGAGCTCGTGCATTCGCTGGAGAGAAACAGAGCCAGTGAGAAGGAAGGTGAGAAGCCACGCCCCCCCAGGGTGGATTGCCATGCCAAAATTCCTTGTCCTCCTTTCCTCTTGGGATCCTGGATGCACATACATGTGTCCAGCATGATTTTCAAGCTACCATGTTCAGGACGCAAATAGCGGTTGGTCATGTGGAAGTCTAGAACATTTGCCACCATGCCACCTTCTGGTCCCACTTCTCAGTGGTTTTTCAAACGTTTTCTCCATATTGACAGTAAAAAATTGTTGTATTTTTAAAAGATCTTTTTACAAGTTGTCAAAAGATCCCGTTTCCCAGATATACAAGATTCTAGCCTGCATAAGAAAAGAGGGGAAGAAGAGAATAAGAGAGGAAGGGGAATGTATGTAAGGGAAAGAAGCAAAATGCACATTTACCACTAGGGAAAACTCTTGCTTGATATGTTACATGCGTAAGATCTAACGTCCAAAATATACTCTCAATAAAGGTATAGAAGCAGTTTCAAATGATATAGGGTGAGAGTATACGTATGGATATATAAAAACTACAAATACACCTATTTAGAATAGCCTCAATAAGAGAATTATCTCTAAATTTCCCTAAATGTTAAGTTTTGATCATAATCTTATACAAAATTATTATTTCATGATTGTCTCTCCCAAGACATAAATTAAAACGTTTTAAAAGCATAAACTGTGATGGGGCCAGAAGATGGTGGAGCAGTTAAATCACTGGACTCCCACGTGGCCAGACATGGTTTTAGTCCCCAATGGGGCAGCTTGAAACTCACACTGGGCATGTGTGTGTGTGTGCCCAAGA